TTGGGGAATGCCAGTGGCATCATATGTCTTGTGTCTGGAAAGCCATTAAATTATTGTTTCATGATACTGTACTCTAAAAACTAATTGTATCTTACCAGTGATTGATGGTTAGAAAAGTAAGCTAATAGAAATTTCCATCACCTCGTATAGAAATTTCTAATTATCCCTCCAGATTGTAAACTTCTTGAAAGAATAAAACATTTTCTGTATCATATTCAGCCTATCTCCATTGCCTAGAACAATACTCAGCAAATGACAGAGACTCATTAGAAATGTATTGAATCATAATTAAATTTAATTGTAATTAATGCAAAGTCTGTGTTTAAAAGCATGTATGAGATGAAAGGGAAGTAGCTGTCTTCTCAGTTCATTTGGGAATAATGTAGGGGTTTTAGTTGATTGTCTACTTAATGTTGTCAATATTGTGACATGGTGATTAAGAGAGATATAGATAAAAGGCTATGGTCATTGACAAATAGTGCAGAACACAGGTACAAGAGTTCTGACAGAGTGTATTTTTCCAAACAATATATCTCATCCCACATGCTTTCTTACAATGTGACTTTGACTTTGACACTTCTCCCACTGACTGGTGGCGGTCTATGTTTCTACCCCTTGAATCTGTGTAGGTTTGTAACTATGGTAGAAGTATGACCATTTGACTTGCTAGGCCAGATCATAAAAGGCCATATAGCTTCTTCCCAGTTCTCTTGGGATACTCACTCTTGAAACCCATGATGTTACATCAACAGCTCCAACTGAGGTCTCAATTGACAGCCAGCATGAACCAGACATGTAGGCAAACAAGCTTTTAGATGATTTCAGCATTAGCCATTAAGTCATACCAGCCTTCAAATGTCCCCAGCTGAGGTCCCAGACAGAATAGGCAAGCCATTCTTCTGTGGTCCTTTCAAATTCCTGACCCACAGGATCTATTTGCAGAACAAAATAGGTTTTGTTTTATGCCACTAAAATTTGGGGCAATTTGTTATGGCAGTCATTGATAACTGGAACAATAAGGAAATAGATATGCAAATTGTTCTGCATATACTCAACAGAATATTATGCTGCTACAATTAGAAGAGTTCATGTTGAAATAGAATGTTTATTATTATTATTCATTTACTCATTAAGGAAACATTTTTGGCCGGGCGCGGTGGCTCAAGCCTGTAATCCCAGCACTTTGGGAGGCCAAGACGGGCGGATCACGAGGTCAGGAGATCGAGACCATCCTGGCTAACACGGTGAAACCCCGTCTCTACTAAAAAATACAAAAAACTAGCCGGGCGAGGTTGCAGGCGCCTGTAGTCCCAGCTACTCGGGAGGCTGAGGCAGGAGAATGGCGTGAACCCGGGAGGCGGAGCTTGCAGTGAGCTGAGATCTGGCCACTGCACTCCAACCTAGGTGACAGAGCAAGACTCCGTCTCAAAAAAAAAAAAACAAAAAAAAACCCATTTTTGAGCCCACTATGTGCTAGGGGATGTCTGAGGACACAACACTGACCCAAACAAAGTCCCTACTGAAAGTCCTCACCCTGGCCTGTACATTTTGATGTCTCCCATTATTAAGTCCTCAGTTTTTATGGTTTTAACCACTGACGACGTTCAGAATTCTGTCTTCAGCTCTGACCTCTATCTTGAGTTTCACACCTGCATATTGAATGCTTACCTGCTGTCACTAGTTGGCTATCCCATAGGCACCCTAAACTTTAGTCACTGTCACTAGCACCTACACATGGTCCTGAACCAACAACCTGAGAGTTATTGAAGATTTCTCTCTCTCCCCTCATCTCCCACGACTTGACAACCTTGGCTCTATAGCCACAGAAGCCACTGAGCTTACGGCCACATTATCTGAACCCATCCCCTTTTTCCATCGCACTGCCACTGCCTGGGTTTATGTCATCATTTTCTTGGGTCTCCAAAACAGTTTCCTAATTAGTCTTTCTGCCACCAGGAGCCTCAGATTGCTACTATACAATGCTGTTATAATGCTTTTTCATAATATACAAATATAATTGTTACTATCATGTTTAAAATGTTTCACTTATCCTTCTTCAGAACAAAGTCCAAGATTCTTACCACTGACATATAAATGGAAGGAAGTTACAGAACAGTATGCAGAGTATGATCCTACTTTCTAAACATATGTAAACATACTCACACATATATGGGTATATGTATGTTTAAATATGTATAAAGTTACTGGATGTTCAATAAAATGTCAACAGGTGTAATCTCAGAATGAAAGATTTCCGATGATTATCTTTTTCTTTGTACTTGCATGTATTATTTTAATACATACAATATGAAAACCCTTTTCAAAAAATGAACGTTTCATTTTTACAGAAACAAGAAAACATTAAAAATATTAAAGAAAGAGACTTTGATATCCAGTGTTGGCCTGTTCAGCTTTGCAGTTTCCCTCTCTTCTCCCAGTCCCTGATACCAGGTTGATCACTTTCATTATCTCAGCAAATTTGCTCTCCAGAGCCTCCAGTCCTTCAGACATCCAGCTTCTGCCTGGAAAGCACTTTCCTTAGCTTTTTGTTTGGCTGATCCCTACACACTGACCAGAGTTGAAGTCAGTTATCAATACTTACAAGAAGCTTTTTCTAGTCAGTCTCCTCTCTAAGATCCTATGTTGACTTCTACCACCACCTATTACATTGCTCCATAACCATCTATTGGCCTCCATCTTTATAGTCAGTCCTGCACACCAAGGTATCCACAGAACCCACCACAAGTCTAACATACTGAAAGCATTCAATCAAATGTTTCTCAAGGAACTCAGTGAAATACTATTTGGGGGAAACAAGAAAGGTCAGTGGGAAAGGTTTTGGCATTCTGCTCCTTGGGTTCAAAAGTCTAGTTCTGTCACTTTCCAGCTGTGGGACCCTAGAAAAGTTACTTAACCTCTTTGTACCTTAGTTGTGACATCTATAATATGAAAATAGTAACTATGTCATAGGGTTGTTGTGAAGATTAAGTGATATAAAGTGTAAACAAGTTCCACTGATGGCTTCACTACTGAATTCTATCAAACATTTAAAGAGGAACTAATACCAGTCCTTCTCTAACTTTTCCAAAAAATTGAAGAGGAAGGAAACTTCCAAACTTGTTTTACAAGGCCAGCGTCTTCTTGATACCAAAGACCAGTAAAGAAAATTACAGGCCAATATTCCTGATGAACATGGATGCAAAAATCCTTAACAAAATATTCGCAAACCAAATTGAACAGCATATTAAAAGGAGCACTCACCTTGATCAAGTGAGATTTATCCCTGGGATGCAAGGATGGTTCACCATAAGTAAAATAAAAAACTGTGATATATCACATCAACAGAATAAAGGACAATAACCATATGATAATCTCAACAGACGCAGAAAAGTTATTCAACAAAATTCAACATCCTTTAATGATTAGGAAAAAAAAAACTCTCAAAAAATTAGGTATAGAAGGAATGTACCTCAACACAATAAAGGCCAAATAGTACAAGCTCATAGCTAACGTCATACTCAATGACCTATAATCTTTTATGAATTATAAAGAAAATTTCCACACAGTGGAAACCCTATCATCGTGTCATTTGTGAAAACATGAATGAACTTGGAAGACATTATGTTTAGTGAAATAAGCCAGACACAGAAAGATAAATACCTCACTTATGATCTCACTTATATATGGAGTATAAAAAAGACAAACACATAGAAACAGAGAGTAAAATGAAGGTTACCAGAGGCTGCAGTGGAGTGGTGAGACTGAGGAGATGGCAGTCAAGAATGCAAACTAATAGAGTTTGAATATTGTCTTTTTCACACTCTGCTGTACTCACACGAAATATTTTCAGTTATTGTAATTTCTACTTTTAGTCATCCTTTAGAATTACAGTTTTACTAAATGTTTCCTTAGCAAAATTTCTGACTTGATAAATACCTGTTGTATAAAATGAAGGGGAAATGAAAACAACTGAATTTAACAGAATTAAACATAATTGAATTGCAAAGTATGCGAAGGTATTAAAGTACTTAAATGTAGCTAGATTATTGTCACTAGGGGGAGCTCAGCACTTAATTTGTATTCTAAAAGAGTCCACCCTGCTGGCAATCAAAACAGCAGTTTGTATCCCATTGTGCTGTGTGCGAGGGGCTTCTAAAGAAACTAACAGCATTATTTTCCTAGAAATTGAAAGCGACTGAATGCATTAGCTCTCATGCTTTTCACGCCATTTGGAGCAAGAATAAATGGTTCGTCTCTGTGGCGCCACTGTCAAAATAACACACACACTTCTTTGAATGCAGCTCCAAAATGGCTCATGCTTTTTGCAATGGTCCAAGATGGAACAGAGGAATAAAGATTAGAACACGATGCATGAAATATGCTTCAGCACAGAGATCTCAGTGGGAGAGTCTATGCAGGTCAGACAGCAGAGTAACCACAGGAACAAGATCTGAACCTCAGGAGATTCTCCACCTTTAAATCTGTATCATTATTACATGTGAACTTCTTATAAGTATACTTCTTATGATAGATGCCTTTTTTTATAAGCAAGGGAGCACAGGAGACCTGTATTTTGTCACCACTCCTTATGGCCAAAAGCCATGAACTTTGGATTCAAGCTGTTCTTTAAAAAGCTTAGATGAGATGTTTAAAAGACAGTAAACCTTTGCCACGTCCTGGAGCTGACAGATTTTGAACAAAAATAAAAGATGGAACTAGTTTTCACGAGAATAATTGAATCAAATGAGCCTGTAAACAAAATTAAAATAATAACATCACATATTTTTTCACAAGCCTGATTTCTAGTGAAGAAGTTAAAACATAATAAAAATAAGAGATCCAGGCATTCCTTTGTACTTTCCCAGCCAAGATCCAGTAAATACGAGCCTCAAAATACTCCAAACATGGCTATGTGCAAGGCCTGAGGGGAGGTGTTGAAATTCATGAAATCACAGACATAAAATTTGGAAAGAACTCCAGAGCAGCTGTCTATAACTCACCTATACAGAAGTCCCTCATGCCACCTTTGATCCCTGTGCCTTCTAGGGCAGTTGTGCTGTTCACATAGCAGGATCCCACCCTGTGTTCAGGCAGCCTCATCCCATTGGATGTCTCTGCTTCCGCCAGAGAAACTCTTCTTCTTCAGAAGTGGAATTTCCTGCTGTATAACATCATACTTTTATTCTGATTCTGCCTTTCGGCAGAAGGTTAAAAAGTCTCTTTTCTTGTTCTCAGGGAAGGTGTTGAATATAAACACGGACACAAGTCCTCCCCAGCTACCACCTTCTTTTCCCCGGTCTTATGACCCCTACCACCAAGACTTTTTATATCCAGGCAAAATATTACAGGTTTAATGACTTTTTAAAATTAAGATGTACTCTTCTCATTTTTTCCCTTGGTACAAAACTTTGGAGAAAAATTAGAAAATTCAGACATGCTAAATGAAGAAAATGACCTTACTGCTCAGAAGTAATCTTAGTAACCTGATTTTCTATGTCAACATATATCGCTTTATTAAATTTTTTCATAAAATAGGATATTATTTTCAGCTTTTTCGTACAATCAATTAATCAATTACCTACAACCACATTTTTAAAGCTGTATAGTACTCTACTGGGTGTTTGTACCATATTTATTTAAATAATTCACTACGGTGGGATATTTAGGTAGTTTTGAATTTGCGCTATTAGAACAATCACTAAAAAATTATTGTAGAGGCATTTTTTGCAAGACACTTGTATTATTTTCTTCCATATTTATTTGCTAAACTAAAATTTCTAGTTTTTAGCGGTTAAACCTTTTAATTCCAAAGTAAAAATATGTTCTTTATTTCCACAACAACTTCTTATGAAACATAGTCCAACTCCATCACTGTCCTCATCGACTTCAAAATCGTAAAACGTGTACCTCTCTTTGGACACTTTTTCTGAAAACTGCCTCTCTCCCTCAGTATCATTTTGTCAAAGAGGTTACCTGAGCTCCTGGTCTAGATTAGGTCCCTGTTATAATGCCTCAGCACACCTTTTCCTTGTCCTTCATGGTATTTTTCATTATCGTAACTAAGCAGGTGATAGTATGATGATTTATTTAATTCCTGGCCTGTTAGAGTCCCACAAGTAGAAACCATGTCTGCTATTTCAGTGACTATCAAAAAAATATGTACTAAATAAAACACTTATTGAATAAATGGAGATATTTCTATATTTTAGAGCAGAGTGTATGTAGACCTATGAAGTCTACCACATGATTTAATGTACTATATTCACAGTCCTTATTCTGCAGGGCTGGCAGAAATTTATATTGAGGGTTTCTACTTCTTGTCACCTCACCTCCTGATGAGTCATAGTTTAGGGATTTTCTACACAGGGCTAAGGCATTGAAGAAGTCCTTCTGGTCATTGATCATCTGTTCATAGACATTACCTGGCCACTGTTCCTCTCTGCATGGCCTCTTTATGTCTGTGGCTTTTCATAGCTTCTGTGATATGTCTGAGACATGCTGGTGGGCATGTAGAGAAGGCCTATTTTAAGGTAAATAAAAGCTGGCTGAAAACTTTTTGTTCTCACTCCATAGCTGTTCTAGCCCAGATGCTTAACATGTGAGGGAAAGGTATTCAGATGACTCTTCCCTCAGCAGCCATCCAAATGCAGGTATATAGGAAACGTCAAGCAGAAATCACCCAGCTGAGCCCATCAACCCCTAGAACAGTGAGAAATAATAGTAAGTCACTAAATATGCAGTAGTTTGATATATAGCAAGAGATAACTAGAATACACCACTTGGGAATATAATTTGACAATATTTATTAAACTTTTAAATTAATACATACTTTAACTCCAGAATTTCATATATTTACTCTATAGATATACTGAAACACATACAAAGTAACATGTAACAAGATACATGCTGTAGCTTTGTTTACATTAGCAAAAGACCAGAAATAATCTATACATCTCCACAGAGGACAGGTTAAATACGGTCTGGTAAAGAGAAACAATGGAATATGCTATTTAAAAGAATGATGAGTCACAGTATACACTAATATGAAATCATATGGAATAATCCCCAAGTTATTTGTCATTTTCACAGCAAAATGCAGGACAGTATGTTTAAGGTGCAATCATTTGTGCAATAAAAATAATATGCATATGTATACCTTTGTAAATGCATGGAAAATCTCTAGAAGAACACTTAAGAAAATGGGTAACAACTGTCTCTGGGAAGGCGACTTGGACATTTCAAGGACAAAGAGTGAGAGAACAACTTTTCATGTAAACTTTTTCAATTCTGTACTATGAATATGTATATATTATCTGTTCAAATAACTTTCACATAAATGACCCAGTTACACCAGTAGACTATCTTCCTTTTTTTTTTTGAGACAGAGTCTTGCTCTGTCATCCAGGCTGGAGTGCAGTGGCTTCTATCTCAGCTCACTGCAACCTCTACCTCCCAGGTTCAAGAGATTCTCCTGCCTCAGCCTCCCAAGTAGCTGGGATTACAGGCATCTGCCACCATGCCAGATAATTTTGTATTTTTAGTAGAGATGGGGTTTCACCATGTTGGCCAGGCTGGTCTCAAATTCCTGACCTCGGGTGATCCGCCCGCCTCAGCCTCCCAAAGTGCTGGGATTACAGGCATGAGCCACCATGCCCAGCCACTATCCTCGTTTTAAAGATGAGAAAACTAAGCTCTAAGAGCTGAGGTGATTTGTTCAGCATCTGAGAGCTAGCCAGTAACAGAGCAAGGTCTGGAAATGACTCCTCAAGTGGAGCTCTTTTGTTTGGCTAGAATCCCTTAAGTTTATCGCTTTTTAGTAAGTCCTTTATTTTAGCATTTCCAGGAAGAATATTTTTCAGCCTGTTCTACTTCCAGATAAAGTCCCTTAGGACTAACTATATGTGTGTTGTATTAGTTTCCTATTGCGGCTGTCACAAATGACCACAAACTTAGTGGCTTGAAACAACTCAAATTAATTTTCTTACAGTTCTGGAGGCCTTAAGTTCAAAATGAGTCTTACTAGGATAAAATCACAGCATTGTTAGAGCTGCATTCCTTCTGGAGGCTCCAGGGAAGAACCTATTTCCTTGTTTTGCCCAGCTTTTAGAGATGGCATGCATTCCTTGGTTCATGGCCCTGTTCCTCCACATTCAAAGCACATCACTCTGACTTCCACTGGCCCATTTCCTTCTTTAATCATCTTTGATCTTCCTGCCTCCCTGTTTTAAGAACCCTTGTGATTATATTGGGCCTACGTGGATAGTACATACAGGATAATCTTCCCATGTCAAGATCCTTAATTTAATCACACCTGCAAAGTCCCCTTTAAGATGTAAGGTAACATTCATAGGTTCTGAGGATTAGGATATGAACATGTTTGAGGTGCCATTATTCAGCCTACCACATTAGACCTAAGTTTAGGGAAGTCTCATAAATGATGTCTCCGTTTCTCCATCTATAAAGCAAGGATAAGAATGCTACCTATTTTATATGGTTATTTTGCAGATTACATAAGTTAATATATTTAAAGAGCATGGAACATTGCCTGACACATCGTAAGCACTGGATATATGTTATCTGTAATAGTAGTTATTGTTTACTGACCCTCTAGTTGATAGCATGTTAGAGCCTTTCATCAACAAGATTATTATATCTTCCTTTAGATCTAACATATGCTAAGAATATAAAAAAAGAGGCTTTTACTTAATTTTAGCAAAACACAGTGTAACAAAGTCAGTTTTGAGGGAAATAACACACTCAACAGATGAATTGAATTAATTTAGAATAATAGCTAACATTTTATATAGTATCTTCCATCTGTGCATTTTCAAGTATATAACATACACAGTGAGCCCTTGTAATCAATCTGAAGTGTTTGTTGAGAATTTACTACTTTCAAGGCTCTGTACAACAGGGATACAAAAGGCAGAGACATTTCAGGTTATCCTGGATTTTAACAGCTGAGATAAGTGAATCTCAAGGAGACCAACTTGCAGTGTCACACAGCCAGAACTGGAGCTGAGAATGTGACTCAGGAGATGAACTATAAACAGAAAAAAAAATGGGAAAGACACTGCACTATATGATATAATATGTGCTAAGTGACTATAAGTGTGAAGAGATTTCAGATTAGGAAGAATCCATTAAGATGGATGGATCAGAAAAAGTATCATGAATAAAATGCATAACTTTTGGAAAAAGAGAGTAAAGAGAGAGAAGGGAAAAGAGAATGTTTGAGTGTGAGCCAAGACACAGAAGAAAATATCCCAGAAATGTGCTGGAGAAAGTGTGCATTGAGTATTTATTTGTAATGAAGAGCAGAGATAGAAAGAAAGCAAATGACTTCTCCATCACTTACACTGTGGGGCGAGGATGAACGAGAACTACATGTGGGAAGGGAGGCTTTTGGCCAACTCTTCCACAGTGCAGGGTAAGGTCCATAGGACGCCCCATCTCCCAGGCCATTCCTGATGCAGCAGGAAGCCAAGCAACAAGTGGCCAAAATAGTTCATTTTAGAAGAAGGTAGAGACAAAGTTGTCTTTCTTGAAGCTTAAGACATTACGTAAGCTCTGCTTCTTGATATTACAAATACACGTACCTGGCCAGGCGCGGTGGCTCACGCCTGTAATCCCAGCACTTTGAGAAGCCGAAGTAGGCAGATCACAGGAGGCCAGGAGTTCAAGACCAGTCTGGCCCACATGGCAAAACCCTCTCTCCACTAAAAATACGAAAACAATTAGCTGAGTTTGGTGGTGCATGTCCGGAATCCCAGTTACTCAGGAGGCTGAGGCACGAGAATCACTTGAACTCACCAAGTAGAGGTTGCAGGGAGCTGAGATCACACCACTGCATGCCAGAATGGGCAACAGAGCAAGACTCTGTCAAAAAACAAACAAACAAACAAACAAAAAATCGCCCGCCAAAACAAAAGCAAATACACCTACCTATAAGGTAGAGTTCAACATGAAAGCTAAGGCCCAGGAAAGTTTGATAACTAATCTTCGAAAGATATGTAATTACTACGATTATTGGACATTTCAAAAATGCTGAGAACTGTGCTATCACTTGCTTTACATATATTAAGCCCTTTTAAACCCCCCCGAGGTAGGCATTATTACCACACAAAATGAGATAGTAATGAGAAGCCAGAAAGACAGCCAAGAAGTTAGTGTTCGTCCTCCACATAGCTGCACAGAGCGCCCTACATTTCCCACCCATGGCAGCCTCTCTCCATTCAGTGGTGGATTCTTGACATATGAAATAAATTCTTCCCTAGCTTTTTGTTTCTTGAAAAATATTGCAAGAGATTTCTGTAAACTGACTGACAAAGTCCCAGAAAAAGAAATGTAATAAATGCCAGATAATCTCTATGTTGAGCAACCTCAAGACCAAGAAGCTTGATTCCTCTACATCTGTACTGAGAAGATGGCAAGGAGAGGGGAGAATGACAGCAGTGTTTCCTTTTCTTTTTGCTTCCTCCAATCAGATACAGCTGAATCTAGCAATCTTTGTCTGAGGTGCATACCAAGAAGTTGGGAAAGGTTTGGGATAGATCGCAGATGAGTCAGGAACGATTCTATCTCCTATTGCCAGGAAGAAATAGCTGAGCACAGGTGGGCAACCTGAGCCCCATGTAATTCTGTTATAGCTAAAAGGACCCACAATGTCTGGGCCATCAGCTTATTGACTGCTACCTCTAATGCTAGAAGAAATGAGTGTTTTCTCTATGAAAAAAAATTGTTGAAATCCATTTAAAATTTTAATGAAATTCTTCCCCACGCTACCCCCACCCAACTCCTCTTCCAAAGCAAAAGTACCCAAAATATATGGCTTTGTGATACCCTTAGTGTCTCAGTATTTTTATCATATGCCTCAGGCCAAAAGAAATACCTAATAGGCCAGGTGCTGTAGCTCACGCCTATAATCCCAGCCCTTTGGGAGGCCGAAGTGGGCAGATTACTTGAGATTGGGCATTTGAGACCAGCCTGCCAACATAGTGAGACCCGTCGCTACCAAAAATACAAAAATTAGCCGGGCATGGGGGTGCATGCCTGTAATCCCAGCTACTTCACAGGCTGAGGCACAACAATGGCTTGAACCCAGGAGGTGTGGGTTGCAGTGAGCCAAGATCGCGCCACTGCACTCCAACCTAGATGACAGAGTGAGACTCTGTCTCAAAAAAAAAAAAAAAAAAAAAAAAGAAAAAGAGAAAAGAAAAAAGAAATACCTAATAGGTAGGCTTATTAGGTAGTTAGGGCCAATTTAATTTGACAAATACATTCTTATGTCTTATCAATGTAATGGTCATTTGAAAAAAATCAGAAACATAAATAAAAGAAAAAATTATACTGTCATTTTGCTCCTAAAGGGCCTCAATTACTTACTGAGGGGATGTGTGTGCTGGCTGGGGATTGGACAACTTCTCAAAATTCAGACACCACCACCCTCAGTTTCTGGTTACACGTGGATTTTTCTAAGGGTAACTACTTTTTATCAGCAACTGCTTTTATTTCAGCAACAATTGAAAATGCAACCTCGCAAAAATATTACAGGACGATTAGCATGATCTAATTTTAAAACTGAACTATTTTGAGCTTGGAATTTACAAATAACACCGTGATCCCCCGTGAGTTCATTGAGGGTGCTAAGGCACACAGTTTGGGATCTGTGCTGGGAAGTTAAGCTACTGAGGTTGAAGCCTTAGAAGAGTACATGAAGTAGAACTTCCCCATTTTCTCAGTATTTGTTCGTTTTCCCCGGGGAACACATGTTCTAGAGGAGAACACAAAAAGGAAGTAGCAGCCAGGTGCTGAGATCCACCAGGTGCTGAGATCCAGGTGCTGAGATCCACCAGGTGCTGTTTTTAGTCTGATCCTTAGAGAATCATCCCTGACAGGCTCTCAGAACCACCACTGCTTGCCACTGTCTAGCATGGAGTGGTGATTTTTTTCATCAGGCTATCTCTTTTTATTCATATAATCTTTTCATTAAAAAAACTTGATGTTGTAGAGAGCTAGATTTACAGATGATTGGATTGGGGTCCTTTTTGTACCACGTCATAAGTAACCTTGGGCAGGTCACTTACTGTTTCCAAACTTTAGTTCTGAAGATAATACCTTTCCATGTGCAATCCAACATTTTATTTTATTTATTTTTTGAGATGGAGTTTCACTCTCGTTGCCCAGGCTGGAGTGCAATGGCGCGATCTTAGCTCACCGCAACCTCCGCCTCCCGGGTTCAAGCAATTCTCCTGCCTCAGCCTCCTAAGTGGCTGGGATTACAGGCATGTGCCACCACGCCTGGCTAGTTTTGTATTTTTAGTAGAGACAGGGTTTCTCCATGTTGGTCAGGCTGGTCTCGAACTCCCAACCTCAGGTGATCCGCCTGCCTCGGCCTCCCAAAGTGCTGGGATTACAGACAGGAGCCACCGTGCCCGGTTGCAATCCAATATTTTAATTGTAACTATATAACACATTTGAATAAGGCAAAATATCTCTAACTCAATGTGTATAATTTGAGGGCCATGGTTAAAACGCTAGGTTTTAAAAAGCCTAGGTTTCTACCTAGGCTCAATTCTCAAGTATTCTCATATAGCAGGTCCAGGATGGGACCCAGGAGTCTGCCCTTTTAACAAGCAGCCCCCGACCCCACAGTGACATAGACTCAGGGAGGCTAGGAGTTGAAAACATTAGTAAAAGGTATTGTTTATTTAAATAGTTGCATGTATATAATTTCATCCTCTCAACTAACCTTTTAAAGTAGTTGGACTGGCATTATTTTCATTTTACAGAAGAAGAAACTGAGATTGTAAAAGTAGGATGATGGTGGCAGCCCCAGATCTTACATGCAGGTAGGGTGTTGGCATGGCAACCTGGCCAGAAAGCTGGAGAACTGGTTTTGTAGACACCATTGCATAGCAGATACACTATTTCACTCAGATTGGATGGAGCTTGAGGCTGCTGATGGCCTCACCCAAGGCCCCACACCTCCCAAGGTCCTTGGCCCTGTTCCATTAAGAGGCTTGCCCAACTTCTCTCAGTCACTGCGAGGCAGAGTTAGAACCAGAGTCAGAACTCCTAGTCTAGTTCTCTAACCATTACTACCACACATTGACACTACGTTTGTTTTTGGAAATACAATATCTGTCTGACTTTATGCTATCTTTTTAGTTAACACTCTGCACTTAGTAAATATAGAAAAGTAACGTATTCTTCAAAAGTAAGATATTTAACCAAGGCTTAGGGAACTTTTTTCCTAAACGTTTACTTTGCCTACCCTAGAAGGGGTCACTAACCAATATTATCGTTATTAAAGTAAAAGCATTAATAAAAGACCCACTTTTCTGATCTTTCACTCTGTGCCAGGTAGTATGCTAAACCCCTTTACAAATAGTATGTCTAATCCTTACATCAGCACAATCAGAAAAATGTCATAGCTTCATTTTAAAGATGAGGAATTGAGACTCAGCGCGACCAAATAAGTTAAATTCACATGGCTTGCTAACATACACGGAGTCATCATTTAGAACCGGGTCTCTGGGATTCTAACTTCCTGATATTTCCTGTGTATCACTCCACTTCCTTGTGTTAGTAGACATTATGCTAATGATCAGAGCAACTGAACTTGTCTTATATATATATATAACATACCTAATACATAAATGTCTGTCCACTAAACTGCATATTCCCTGAGGACAGCATGCCTTATTCATTTTTTGATTTCGCGTACCTAACGAAGTGCCTGGCACATAGCAAATGCTCAATAAGTGTTTAATAAATTAAAAAAAATTGAGTATACAGATATATCTAATATTTCAAACAAAGCATACTTTAAGACATTTTTAGTTTTTCTCAATCAATAAAACTTTTGACCAAATAAAAAAATCTCTGTCAAGCTACAGTTTTCACAAAATATAAACCTTTCTTTGTTTCCTAATAGCTGAGCTACAAGTAACTTTCTCACAGTTGGGGAAGGATCATGAGGTCACTCGGTCCACCCTGGAATGGAATGCCCACTTGTTGCTTGTTCAGGGAACTGATGATGCCAACAATTCTTTGTCTTTGGTATAATCAGACTCTGAAGTGGGTCCAGCCCTCTCGGTACAGGCTGCCAATGCAGGCAGCATCACTTCCAGATAATTGCCCTCGGTTCTGCTGACTCGGAAAATCAACTCCCAGTCAGACAGGGGGCCCCTATTCAGATGGAACCAATGTTTCTTAACCTTTTTTTAGGGGTTGGGAGGTGCTGGAGGAGATGCATGAAACACTTTGAAATAAAAGTGGATTCATGTGAACCCTGAAGCCAATGTCAGTGAACACCTAAAATAAGATTAAAAGTAAACTATTTTGCAAAACCAAGCATTTTCTTTTCCCACTTTTAAAATATTTTCTCCTGGAAATGATTTGAGTTGGGTAAAGTATAGCTTTCAGTGGCTTATCTAATAGATGGAGAGACATCAAAGTGATTTCTGACACTCCTTATGACCCAAAATATTATTCAGCAGCAGCTTGTCCTGGATATTTGTTCATTCTATTGTTGGCATTGGCACATCTGGGGAAGTTCGTATTTCCATCAAGGAAAAATACAGATTAAAAGAAAACTACATGGTAAAATTTTATTTCCACTGAGTGAGCTTGACAAGCTATT